ATATCCGTCAATTTATCAGATTTAAAACTATTCAAGGTTTTGTCGACTCACACTGGCTTGTAAACAAGAATTAGACAAAGATTATTAAAAACGTTCCGTAGGCCTAGTTTCAATATGAAAGTTGAATAATTTAGACGAATCGAGCCTTTTAGATCTAAATCAACCGATTGTTGCAAACATTATTTTTCTTCAACAGATAGCCGGATACATGTATTTGTAAAATAGATTCATTTTATGTCGATGTCATAAATAATTAAATATTATATTTAAAAACTAGATTTAAAAGAAACACAAATGGGTATCTCTTGCACTGATATAGAATATCATGACGTCACAGAGGAGTAGTGTTTTCTATCAGGTCCGCGCCTTCAATACTTATACATGTATACAACATTATTGTTTATTTGCATTTTGTCAGAATTTGCACCTACGGTAAACGCGTAAGTTGTTAACCACCATATTTATTAATTTAGTTTTATTTAATTTTTAATTTCATTATTGAATTTGTTTATTTCTTCTGTCTACATTTTTATTTTTATTATTGAATTTCTTTATTTCTTCTCTATCCACATTTTACGAAGTTGAATAGGCGACCCTACTCCTTGTCAAGTACAAGTGGGTAATCGAAACAATGCCACTTGACTTAATGACAGACCTTATGATGCAAGGCGCACGCGTTAACCATTAGCCCCCCCCCTCTTTGAATAAGGTGTTTCCCCTTGTCAGTGGTGCAGAACGGAGGGCTTGACAAAGACAGCTGTCTAGTCATTCGGATGAGACGAAAAACCGAGGTCCCGTGTATACATTAGAATGCACGTAAAAGATCCCTTGGCAGCTGGAATTCGATATAAGAGTAGGCGATAGTGCCGCTGCCCGGGCAAAATTTCCCTCATAGCACACTGTATGGCGTATGCTCGTCTTCATTAGTCCAGTATAGGAGCAGAACAGTAGGACGTTAAACCCCATTTCATTTCATTTCATTTTGAATAAGGTGACCCAAGTGTGTCATTACATTTTTGTAGCGGAAATCGGCTTCTACAATATATATAAAAAAAGCAAAATAGTAGGACGTTAAACCCCATTTCATACCATATCATTTCTATGAAAAAAAAAGTTAGTAAAACTTTCGGTTGACAGCATGAAAGTGGATTTTCTTCCCTTGTATCGTCCAATTTTCAATATACCCGGGGGGTTGGATGGCTGAATGGTTAGCGTGCGCACGCTGTATCATAAAGTCTGTCATTGAGTCGACTGGCGTGGTTTCGAATCCCCGGTTGTACGTGGCAAGGAGTAGGGTCGCCTGTCCAATCTCGTGGGTTTTCTCCGGGGCCTCCGGTTTCCTCCCACTGCTAAAGACCCCTACGCGCAAGCGAATTATGTAAATAAAATTAAACCATGTTAGTCCCGAAATGACCTAGTTTGTGTCGAGTGGACGTTAAACCCCATTTCTCTCTCTCTCTTCAATATACCCGGCATGTTTCAAACGAAAACACTATGTATGTATGCAATGCATCGATAAATAAGATCCCAATCTAACTACATGTCATAATATGACGTTAGAGAGGTTTAAAAGTTTTTGAAAGATCACGTTTTGGGGCCTTTTATTTTGCTTTGTTTTACAAGGAAAATTAGTTTAATTTAAGATTGGCCGATTACCTCTGGCTTGCGGTTGTGATTTCGAATCCTGTTGTGAGCGTATGTAGTTTTACTTGTGGGTTTCTCCCACAGGAAAGACCCTGCGCGTGCGGGAAGATTATAAAAATGAAAATAAGACAACTCGTCTGCGATATCATCTTCGCTGGAAGCGAACGTTAAACACTAACAACACAACAAGCGACCATACTACAAATCAGAAACCAACTACCTTGGAATGGTGACGTCATTTCAAAATTGTACAAGGAACGAGGTTCATGTCGATCGTGTTCGAAACGCCACTGCCTGCGAAAAATTCCCCAGATAGAACACTGCATGCCAATTTAATAATAAACATGAATAAGTGGTTGAGTGTAAATAGAATTGAAATGAAATAGGGTTTAACGTCCCACTGTTTTGCTCCGACTGGGCTAATGAAGAAGGGTTTATATGCCATATAATGTGCCACACTGATCAGCAGTGAATATTCCTCCGACAAATTAAATATTACAGAGATATTAGACGACTTTCGTAATCTTCTGTGAAACAGATTGACAATGTGCTATCAGGGGAATTTTGTCCGAACAGTGGCGCTACGGCTTATTGAATCCCAATTGTCAATGTTTCTTTTACGTGTACGCCAATGTGTACACAGGACCTCGGTTTTTCGTCCATCCGAGCGGCTATACACTCTCCCTTGCCAGGACTGCAAGGGGGCGGGGGGCGATGAACTATTTCGACCAACACCGGGATCAAACACGGGACCTCCAGCATAGCGAGCCAACGTCTTACTTACTGAGCCACCGCAGCTCCCTACACATGAATCGATGACGCGTTCATTTCCGTACCGATGGGAAATTAGACATTTTTTCTACCTTTATCTGTACATACAATATAATTGACAAATTAATTTACCCCACGATTTTCACGGATGTTTGGCAGACTTTAATATGTATTTCATTTTTTTATTTCTATCATTACATGGCAATTATTTCTGTCTCGTAAACCGAGATTCAATCCAGTAAATTCTGATTCTGTTTATTTAATATAGGAAATATAACGAAATTGGGTTTAGCGTCCGACGTTCTTGCAACAGTTGGTCTCATCTCATTGATGACGGGCATACGCCATGCTTTGTGGTATTGGGGTAATAATATTGCCTACTGTTATCGAATTCGAAAGGTGAACGTTTTTTTACATGCACATCCACGTGTACATCAGACCTAATTTTATCGTCCCATTGGAACTACTATCCATTGTTTCTTCCCTTTTGCGCCACTGACGAGGGGACACCACACTGAAAACTCGATATCGCAGGAATCGAACCTGCGACGATCTGGCTAGTGAGTCGGTGCCTTAATGAGCTGCCTTGTCTCTCAATTTGATATAGGCAGGATTTTTTGTTTAGTGAAATCAACCTAACATTTGAACGCGTTTTTGACATAAAAGTCCAGGGGGTGGGGGGGGGCTCACTTACGTCCCCCACCTCACCCACTTGCGCAGGAAATTTTTTTGAAAGACTGAATGTAAATGGTGCTTTGCTTACCAATTCTACAAAAACAACATAATAATTCAAGACTAACACGAAAAGCCCCCCCCCCCCCTCCCCAAAACCATCCGCACTCTCCAAACTAGTTTAGAACATTGACTACCATATTTGTTTCATATCACAAATTATATTAACACTTCTACTTACACTTGCCCGAGTTCTCGTCACTGTATGACAAGGGTGAACTAGTAAGGGACCTGGAAGTATCGTTGGCACTGAGGCCGTCGGTCGGTGGGTTGTGTTTGTGTTTGTGTGAGTGGGGGTGGGGTGGTTGAAAGGTTTCTGTTCTCGCGTAGTTTGGGGACCTTTGTGCAGGTAGTCTTGATTTAGTAAGATTGTCACACTCTAAATATTTACTTAAACACACATTATGCAAGAGCTAAATACGATTAGTGCAGGTCTTTCTTTGGGCCTGAAATGTTATATAAACTATTAATTAGACATTTATTAACATGAAAAGACCATAATCACTTCTCGAGGCCACCTTATGTGTAGGATCTGAATCCGATTTGCTGCTTAACACTCATTGACGATTTAATCCAAAACTGGATAATCGAGACTATGTTTTTTATCGTACCGAAAATTCAAACGCTAATATCTCGGTTCAGAGTAAAGTAATTTGACTGAAATTTTCAGCTGATTCCCTTTACATTATCCAGTTTTTAAGTATGATGGTGAGAACTGTCAGTTCTTTATCTATTCTTCCATAATGCCCCTTTAAGCTAGAACATACGTGCTTCTTCAATTAAGTCAGTTAACACTTGCCCGAATTCTCTCCCCAGGTACAGTACACGTGCTTCATCAATAAAGTCTGCTAACACTTTTCTGCTCGCCGTGTGTACAGGACTCGTGCTTCTTCAATAAAATAAGCTACCATTTGCCCGAATTCTCGCCTTGCGGACGGTACACGTGCTTTTTCATTAAAGCCCTTGCAACTAACAACACTTTGATTTGTTGCCTCACAGGCGCCACCCCTGTGAGAAGACCGTCTTAATTATCCCAGTTGGTGCAGAAAAGGATTCCCTAGTTTCGTCCCACTGCTAAAGACCCCTACCTACAAGCGAATTATTGATATAAAATTGAACCATGTGTTAGTCCCGAAAAGACATAGTTTGTGTTAAAGTAGCTAAGTCTCTAACTCAATATCATCCAAAATCTTCAACATTGAAAACACGATTTATTTGTCATATTAAATCAACATTCATGTTGTGATCTTACCGGAAAAAGATGGGCTTTTGATATCCAATATTTAAGACAAAATAAACATTTTACCATTGGTACACGAATCGTGTACCAAAATGCGCTTCAGCCCCAGTTGTATCAAGAGACTCAAGGGACGAGGCTAGACACATTGCACCAAATCAAACGGCGTATGTAGACTGGAATAACCAGACGCTAGAAATTTGCACTAGCTTGAGACTGCTGGCTTATTTCGCCGAACATAACTGATTTGAAATAGGAGTAAAAACGGAAACCATTAAATGTAAATCAGTTTATATACATTCATATTACAGTATTATATGCGTTGCGACCCACTTTTGTCAATTTCTAGGTCCCAAATGTTAGCGATTTAGCTCCTTTAAACCTTATCTCCCTCTCTCTCTCACCGAAGAAAGCTAGTTGATTTTAATCGCAAATTATAGAAGATCACGTGACGAGTGTATATAGACGATGTAAATGAATGGTGATATGTTTTGTCGGTGCTGGCTGTGTTGAGTTTGAAGGGGTGATATAAATAGCCTAGGTTTCAGTACTCTGTTTAAAGTTCAGACAGTCCATGTAGAATATACACGATGTTATAGAATCTTATATACTCGTGTTATAAACTTAATCTCTATTCCTATCTCACTTATAATCGTGTATTCCGACATTGCCAGGAACCATGTAAGACTATCAGGAACCGACTCTATAGTAGTGTAAATTCCATAGGTCTGGAGTACATATAAAAACGTTAGAACAAAGAAAGCACGCATTCTGAATTATGGGATAAGAAAATGATATCTATAAGAAAATGTAGAACCGCAGGAATACCAGGTAGGCCCTAATCGCAGCTTCACAAAGTGTAACCAGATTCGTTTCTTTGTTCATAAATTGGCGAGTCATTCAGATATAAATAACTGATAGTCATTTCACAAATAAATGGGACCTAGTATCAGATGTTCTAGCTATAGTAAACGTTCGAAGATTGGGTGTGAGTTATAGATAGCAAATTGGACAGGGATTACGGAAGTTTTTCTTTCTTTTACATTGTTAATATTAATGATACTCTTATTAGACTAGCAGGAATGTTATTGATAAATACCGGGAACTGTTGAAGGGTTAGCTCGTGCTAGTGTTTCTATATTCGTGTAAATAAAAGAAAAGAAACCGCGTGTGGAGTTGAGACTGTCTTACAAAACATTAAAAACATATGCAATAGTTACAGCCGGCGAATGTCGTCAAGATATATAAAGAACTAGCTTATATACAGAACTGTTATATTCTAATATTATCAAGACTGCCATGGGATATAAAAGCGTGCATTAAAACAAATAATTTCAAACACGGCAACAAGGCTACTAGTTTCAGTCAGAGAATGCATTCAGGCTTCGTGATATACTGGATAATATTATCAAGGAATAGAAACGTGTGTATTAAAACAAATAATTTCAAACACGTTTTTTAAAAACAGAAGATGAATGCGTTCAGGATACAGAGAGGTTCTTATAGAAGTATTTTCCAATATTATGTAGACCATCATGGAATAGAAAAGCGTGTCTTAAAACAAATAATTTCAAACACGGCTACTAATATCAGCAGGTGAATGCATTCAAGGAATAGAAAAGTGTGGAGTCCAGTTTGTCTTTAAAAATCATTTCAAACACGACTACTAATACCAGCCAGTGAATGCCTTTATGGTAAAAGAAACTTCACAAAGTTTTACCTTTGATCTGGTATAATATGATACAATCACGACGAACTGTCACTTTGATAAATAAATCTTAGAAATGGTATCGGGTGGTGTTTAACATTTTCCTATATAGTGGCGTATATCCGGATCATCAAAATCTCCCATTGGACACAAGACGTTCAACATGCACACCATACAATAATGGTAAGAAAAATTTAAAGTTTTTCAATTTCCACGTATTTTAATTGATCTTATTTTTACATGATCTTATTTATTGTAACTTGTAAATCTGTATAATAGTGTGCGCGCCAATAATTCATTTATTGTTTTCTTTTGAAACTATTGACCGTTTCAATTAGAAACAAAACAAAACGCAACAGAGCACATCACACACCACCACACAACACAATAAAACACAACATAGTAAAACACACCACAAAACACAACAGCACAGCACCACACAACAAACAATAGATAGTATCAATGCAATTATTCAAACCGATTACCAGCACCATGCACACCATATACCACCACATCGTAACACACACCACCACCACCAACATACACCCTCACAGGCATTTTAACTCAATTTCGCACCATTTCGGACAGTTGCTGCAATAGAAATGCCGACAACGGTTTATGGTCGGTCTTGACGTAAATTATCCCCCAAAAAAGTCCCAGTCCGAAATCCGTGTCCAAATGGGTAAAAATGGCCGCCAGTTTTGACTGGAAAATGCCAATTTGTATTCACTTATCAAAAAATGACCAAGTTTCGGAGTAGCTGAATCCATTTCCATACACTTTTTATACGCCCACATTTTCATGTGGACGTATATTGTCGTCGCCCCTGTCCGTCCGTCCGTCCACAATTGTTTGTGAACAGTCTACAGGTCACAATTTTTATCCGATTTCAATGAAACTTGAAATATAGGTTTATCACCCTAAGATCTCGGTTCCTTTCGATATTGGCATCTATCGGACCGTAACTTCATGGATTATGGCCCCTGATTGCACGAAAAATCACGTTTTTGGCTTGTGAACACTGTAGAGGTCACAATTTTCATCCGATTTTGTTGAAACTTGAAATGTAAGTTTATAACCCAAAGATCTCGGTTCCTTTCGATATTCGCGCATATCGGACCGTAACTTCCTGAATTATGGCCCCTGATTGTACGTAAAAACGCGTCTTTTGGATTGTGGACCCTATAGAGGTCATAATTTTTATCCGATTTAAAAAACCGTATTATTATATCCCCGTTAAACCCTAAGGACGGTCGAGTTCGAATTTCGTGAAAATCGGCCAAAAACTGACAGACAAAATGGCCGCCCTTCGTTCTCAAATAGCGTAAAAATATGGTATATCAAGGTTGTGGACCCTATAGAGGTCACAATTTTTATCCGATTTTGTTGAAACTTGAAATGTAAGTTTATAACACAAAGATCACGGTTCCTTTCAATATTCGCGCATATCGGACCGTAACTTCATGAATTATGGCCTCTGATTGTACGCAAAAACGTGTTTTTTTGGCTTGTGGACCTTATAGAGGTCATAATTTTTATCTGATTTAAAAAACCGTGTTAATATATCACCGTTACACCCTAAGGACGGCTGAGTTCTAATTTCGTGAAAATGGACCCAAAACTGACAGACAAAATGGCCGCCCTTCGTTCTCAAATAGCGTAAAAAATATGGTATATCAAGGTTGTGGACCCTATAGAGATCACAATTTTTATCCGATTTTGTTGAAACTTGAAATGTTAGTTTATAACACAAAGATCTCGATTCCTTTCGATATTTGCGCACATCGGACCGTAACTTCATGAATTATGGCCCCTTATTGTATGACAAATCGCGTTTTTAGCTTGTGGACCATATAGAGGTCATAATTTTTATCCGATTTAAAAAAACGTTTTATTGTATCACCATTAAACCCTAATGACAGTTGAATTCGAATTTCGTGAAAATCGGCCATAACTGACAGACAAAATGGCCACCGTTCGTTCTCAAATAGCGTAAAAATATGGTATATCAAGGTTGTGGACCCTATAGAGGTCACAATTTTTATCCGATTTTGTTGAAACTTGTAATGTAAGTTTATAACCCAAAGATCTCGGTTCCTTTCGATATTCGCGCAAATCGGACCGTAATTTCCTGAATTATAGCCCCTGATTGTACGAAAAATCACTTTTTTAGCTTGTGGACCCTATAGAGGTCATAATTTTTATCCGAATTAAAAAACCATATTATTATATCACCGTTACACCCTAAGAACGACTGAGTTCTAATTTCGTGAAAATTGGCCCAAAACCGATAGACAAAATGGCCACCCCTCGTTCTCAAATAGCGTAAAAATATGGTATATCAAGGTTGTGGACCCTATAGAGGTCACAATTTTTATCCGATTTTGTTGAAACTTGAAATGTAAGTTTATAACGCAAAGATCTTGGTTGCTTTCGATATTTGCGCATACCGAATTGTAATTTCCTGAATTATGGCCCTTGATTGTAGGAAAAATCACTTTCGTTTAGCTTGTTTTCTATCCATCTCTCGAAAATGTGGGCGTATACTGCCTGGCAGCCGCTGGTTGAGATTAGTTATACCACGGAGTCAATATTGGGAAATAATCCCAGATGGCGATCAGGGTTGGTGGAAAAATTCGAATTTTACAAAATGACCACATTTGGTGTCAAAATATACGTTTTGGAGGCAGCTGATTCAATTTTCAACACATTTTTTTTTTATCTTGGTTCACCTGGGTCAAAATATGTGGAAATCCCATTGGGGATTATCCCATTGGGGATTTGGGGAATAAGAGTAGACGAGTCTGCCTCAGATCTAATACGATGGCATTCATCAAGCATCAAATAAATTTGATTTAGGCGCTCTGGCCGACCACTGCTCACTACGGAAACAGCGTAGCAATGACTAGCAGCTATGACGAAATGGGCCACTTTCAGCCCACCGTGGGTGCAGCGTTGTAGGCGTGGCAAATTTATTTCACAAAATGATTCAAATGTTGAGACACAGCAGATGGATACAGTATCGCCTGTTTGTCAGATATGCAGTGAACCAGTGAAAATGACGGAAAGATTGGAGGCCGACAATAATGAACCCATTAAGATTCGTGCTCTAAGTTCATTAATGATCGGAGATAACAAGACAGAGTAAAACTCGGTGTAAATTTTGACAATGAGCCAAGTGCGTGCTAGGGCCTCCGAATGGTAGAAGCTATTTGACGTCTATGTGAGCCATGACATACCATACATTGACAATAATTTTTGGTTTAAAGGGGTTATGAATAACTCCTAAGGATCTGAACATGAACATAGTTAGGGCAATCAAGAACTAAACTACTTGTGAGTTAAGGAAAACCATCAACAGAGACTGGTATTCCTTACAAAGGATACCTGCCAAGTTTCATTCGATTCTGTCCCCTAATAACGAGGGGAGCGGTAGGGGTAGGGGGTAGAATTGAAAGTAGACTGACAACACCAAGAACGAGAAGACGACCAAGATACACTTAAAGCCAGGACAAGGAAGTTACTGGTGACAGATTAAATGTCAATAGAGTTCGTGGTGACGGTTATGCTAACCCGCAAAAACGTTCACGCCGCCCGTGGTGACGGTTATGCTAACCCACAAAAACGTTCACGCCGCCCGTGGTGCAATTTTCCTAAATACATTCAGATAAATAAATAAAACTCAGACAAATTAGTTGATTCTGAATATTATGGAAACATTAATCCGGTTGTGAAATCTATCCTGGAAGGCTTGCGTGGAAACCAGGGTCTGATTGAGCTTGTCTGGGGACCTTATATAATCGATGAAAAACGGACATATTCAGAACGTACATTGAGTGCGATTGGTTTGTAGTATCTCTGGATTTGGTTTGAACTAGAGAAGGGTAGCAGAAAGGGGATTCAATGTTTTCATTAGGGTGGGCATTTCTTTGAGTATTTCAGGTATCTCTGTTGAAATTCGAGGGAACGTTTTCGGAACATGGTATGAAATCTCATCAACCATTTCCAGTTCCTTTTGATTTTGCATTTATGAGGGCAGGGTAGTGTAGTAATATGTAGGGAAAGAATTTGTGCTTTGAAACATCTATGTAAAATAATATTATGGTGTTGATTAATTATTCAACCGGGTTAGCGCTGACCACCTTCCACGTCTGACAAACGACCCATGGTGCTACATATCCGATTTGGTAGCCGCGACAGGATTCGACCTTCAAGGGAATCTACATATTTGATTTGGTTTCCGTGATTAGAATCGACCTTCAAGGGAATCTAGATGAAAACATATTCGATTTGGTTGCAGTGCCCCGGGATCGAGTACCCTGGAAGAATTTGTCTAGAAGAAAACCCGTGAATAATCCAGAAACTAAAAGAAATCTGGCGGACAAATTGGTGGAAATATTCTTAATTGGGTAAATACATTTTTCCAAAAATTGAACATGCTTAAATTTGTTTAACAGACCAAATAATACTCATTAAAATTTAAATTATTAAATAAGGGTTATAACTTTAAACGTAGGATATAGGATACAAAATTAAGCGTGACATGTTAGTCCGGGAGCTAGGTGGGTTTTGTTCAACAAGGAAGGTGCGGAAGGTTTGGTATGCTAGTGGTGTATGGCTGGGTTAGGAGACCCCAGAAACCCAATTCTTAAGTTGGGTGTGGTAGGAGGAGCCACGCATAGTACCCCCCAAAATGGGTTTATTCAACATGGAAGGTGCAAGTTCCACTTCAATGGTATTTGATAGAGGAATGTGCCCTGAATTAGGAAATATAACTTAAGAATGGGATTTTTGGTGGAAAGGTCACTTAAGAAGAGATCAAAGGTCACTAATAAGCAATTTTTCAATTTTACTGAAAACGATTTTTCCATTTTCTCGTGATCTATTCCAAGTATATTGCACAAAACTACATGGACATTTTTGATAGTGCTAGGAGCAAAAATATGAGACATAAAATAAATAAAGTTTTAGCTAAAAGTATGAAATAATCTCACAAATAACGAAAATATCACACGACCCCCATCGGTAATTAAAATGTTAGGAAAGGCAAATGTCTTCATCAGAGGAAGCAGTGTCAAAGTCATCATCAGAGGTATCCTGCTCATATTGCTCAATGTCCTCTTCAACCAATGACCCCCGGAGTTCAGGACCATTAAAACGCATGATTTCATTCTGTCCTTCTC